TAATAATGAAGGTGTGTAATAAAAGTCACATGTTTTGTATGTATCAGATTTGTTGAGTTGCAAACGTGTAGTAATACATAATTGTTATTGTAGGTATATGATACAGTGATGGATGTGATTATGGTTTTGGATGGCTGGATTAGAGTACATATGAGCCTTTGATAAAAATGTCGGGTATGAAATTTAAACCGAATATAATTGACAAATTGTTATGATTTTTCAGTTTCCCTACGCATTCAAAAAATGTAGATCTGTTACCATACAAATCATAAATATACCATTTAAGAAACCAAAAGCCATTGTTTGATAATACCGTGGCATATGCTCCAGAACAATTTATGTAATAATAACACACGTAGTGTATATTATAGGAGTCATGAAATTCATTTGGCCTAAAGGAACCATTAAAATAAGGACATAACTACTTCAAAATAGGCTCCAAAAAATTAACAATATGAAGTCTCCATTTGAACACTCCATGCTAAATTACCCCAACATTACTTTAAAAAAGGGTTAACAAATTCCAAATCATAAATGAAACCAGCAAAACACAACCAACACATTATCCATTCACAAGCTATGTATAATATGTTGAAAAAGTCTTATCACACAATATGTAGAAAATTTAAGGTTACATGTGTAGTCGAATACGCACCTACTCAAACGTTGTTGAAAACCTCTTTGTAAACAATGTTTGTCGTTGTAATTTTGGCCGTGTTGTTGTCATCGTGGACCAAAACTTTTATACCTTTCTTGCTGGTAACTCTTGAAAGTGCGACACTGGGACTTGTTAATCGTCATTGCGTAGGACACAATGATTGGGAATTGTCGTCGACTTAGCTTGAAAGGACAAGGAGATTGTGAAGAGGACATATTCATCCTTGGAATATAGACGGCCTGGCCTGAACTGTCCTAGTCTGAACTCTTTCACCTCGTCAACTCGGACTCGGGCAAGCGGGTTCACTCGTATCCTCTTTTCCTTTGGGGTTGGTTACTGCCCCATCCCTTGATGAATTGCCTGCCTTGGGACCGGCCTCGCTTCCATGATTTTTGCCCCCATAATACGTGCTGCTTTAAGTACACGCGTAGCCATCTTAGTCACAATTAGCCGGGTACCATTACATAACCCTTCGAACTGATCGATGTTCCACATTAACATAATGGATGTTCCGATCTTCAATTTAATGTGATGGTTAGGCAAACCGGATGTCTTCAAAGAGCTTAGAAATTATGGAGTGAGGACATCAAGCATGTCCCTATCATGTATCTCAGATCGATCAACAGAGTAACAACTAAAGTAATCCCTCAAGTCACCTATGGAAAACAATGCAAGACATTAAAAAACAGGTGAAAGTTGCAGTACATTTAGTAAAATTGATGTTAAGTAATAATACCTCGCATCATAGCCAATACATGATCATTGATGTTGTCTACCATTTCAATGGTTGATGCCAAGATAGCCCTACTCTTAAGATAATTGTAATCATGGTAATTATCGAGGAATTCAGGATAAGTACTGATCACAATGGCAACAATTGGATCTTCAAATCGTGTAATTAACATCTTAGTTGGGAATTCTATTTCTCCTGTCCCAGCATTAGGTCCACCTAGTCTACCTTCCCCAGTTTTGAGAAGCCAATCGAAGAAATCACCAATTTCTGTCCGTTCTTGTTCGGTTGGACTGCAACTGAGACGCATATTCTTGGTTAAGGTCAACACCTGTACCGAATGCCATATGTAGAAAGTGTTGATTGCGGCGTGCACAATGTCAGAACGGATCCCCCTCGATATTACTAGCAATATTTGTCTAAAGTCTCTAGCAAAAATGACAACCTTGCCACCAAAGACCTCATTAGAGTTGCTACTGCTACTCATGTATCCTTTAAAGTTGTGTCAAGAGCTTCAAAACACCATTTGTTTTCCATCGGCGCCTCATCCTAAATTATTAATTTAGCCTGCCTAAGGAGTTCTACAACATCATCTTTGTAACCAATGTCGCAAGTTGAGTTATCTAAAGTAGGTACAGGTATTTTGAACCTTGAGTGAGCAGTTCTCCCACCAAATAACAACAGTGATGCAATCCTAGTGGTTGCCACAGTTAAGCAGATGTCGTGCTTAGATCTAATTGCACTTGCGAGTTTCCTCCATATGTAAGTTTTACCGGTACCCCCATAACCATGCAGGAAGAAAACCCCACCCTTATGACTTGTAACAGCAGACATGATTTTGTCATATATACCTCGCCGCTCATCTATAATTGGTACAAAACATGAGAGGAAAAAGTTAGGCCGTACGAATTATAGAAATGTACAACAATTGAATGCGTTATTACTTGTAAGAGCTGCATGAAGTGATAGAAATTCAGCCTGCATGGTTGGAATGTCATAATTGCGCTCATCGTATATCAGCCGGTTGCCTAGTTGCTCTAACACATATCCGTCTGGATATGGTATCGGATAGAAGTCTTTAAGACTTCTGCGATTGGTCTGAAGAAGTTGTTCAATCCCAACCAATGTAAGATTCTGCAGTTGCTCGTCACTCAACAACAGGTCTGCGACAATCATGGATGCATGGCTGGTTAGGATGTAAAAGTGCAGAAGAATTTCCAAAATTGAAAAAAAATATTGTAAGAATGGAAAAAAAAGAAGGCAAAAATAATGTCTAGGTCCTTTAAGTTATTTTAAAATATCAAGTTAGTCCTCTAATTTTTTTGTAACGCTTTGGTCCTTTATGTTAAGTAACGTTTGCGTCGTTGACCTTTTTAAAAATCTCTGTTACAATAAATTGCAAACTCATATACCATTTGAACCAGTTTTTTGCGATGATCACGAATATGCAATCAAATTTATCAAACAAGTTACGGTTCATGAGAACCAGGGGAGAAAGTGGACAAATACATAATGGAAAATCATTCAATCCGACCAAAATACACAATCAAATGTAAAACTACTTACATAATCGTGATCAGTGCGAAATACTAGTTCCAATGGTATATGAGTTTGCAATTTATTGTAACGAAGATTTTTGAAAAGGTCAACGATGCAAATGTTACTTAACATAAAGGACCAAAGCGTTACAAAAAATACTTAAATGACTAACTTGATATTTTTAAATAATTTAAAAAGGACTAAAACAATATTTTTGCCAAAAAAGAACTATTTCAAAATTTGAAATTTACCTTTGTTTTGTACCAGCTGCCTCTGCTGGTGCAATAATCCTTCTGATAGTAAAACCCACGACTCCTTCTAGACATGAGCAGGTCTGTTCACGTTGCCTGACATAAGCATGGCCACAAATAGCTTTCTAAGAAAATGACCTGACCCCCATTCATTGGCTTATTTAATAGCCCTAATGTATTCCCTGTCATCCTCAAGGAAACCTATAGCAAAACATGCATCCCTAAATGATTCGTACTGTGTATCGCCAACCTTTCTTATTTCCTCACAACTTATAAGTCCCTTGGCCATCGTCAGCGTCATCCGTAGATAAAATAGTTCCCCGTAGACGGTGGTACCCAAATCAAACGACCAATTGTAAAGCATTTCTTGCGAGGCTTCCACATTCTATTTCTTTTATGGTATACAAACGTGGTGACAAACTGTTCGTATGTTAACTCTCTAGTATGTTCATAATTCTGATTTGTAAGTAACCAAGCCGAAAACATAGATTTTGTAACGCTTGTCTTCTCTAAAATATTTTCCATGTGGTCATAATCGGTGTATTACAGTGGCTTCTCACCAATAAGATGGAAAAACATGCGTTCAACCGCTAGCTTTCTTCCATGAATGTTGTAAGCGAAGATTTGCCAACTTGCCCCACAAGGAGAGATGTATCTACAATCAAGATATTGTTTTATTTCATCAACAGGTTAATTACCATTGGAGGTGGACTGGTTATCACGTACAATGGAAGCGGTAATTCTATCATATCCCTTGTGTATATATTTGAATAAATATTTGATTGGCGTACTCTGATTACACCACTCCATGTTTATATGAGCTTGGTACTTCAAAAGTAACATTGTGTTGTAGGGGACAACATGTCTATTATCCAAAGGGATGTCATTTTTCTGAATTATGTGTGTAAATAATCTTCATGTGTACAAAGGATAGCCTTCGGCATCGACAATTGTGTTCTCTATGAATCAGTTAGGAAAGAATTTGGTGCTTTTATTGTTCTTCATACACGGTGATGATTCCCTCGACAAACAACAGGGTCCATGGACCATATGTGATTTGACCAAATTGTATAAAGTAGGATGAAGTTCGGGGTCAGGTATTTCAACATAAATGATTCAGTCAATGTCAGAAGGGGTGGGATATTTACTTTCAGGATGTAAGAATATCATAATGTGAGCGTGTGAGAGGCCTCTCTTTTGGAATTCTATTGTGTACATAACTGAAAGTGCAAACAATAGTAAAAGTCATTAGTAAGGTAATAATGGTACGTAAAAAATAATAAGGAATTGGAAATGGAAGTCTTACATGTTATAACACAGCCAAGGACATGTTTCTTTGTTATGTCGTGCATGAGTTAGTCGAATTTTATTTTGAAGACCTTAGCTACAATATAGGACGATCGTGTGCATTTAAGTTATTTATATCCAACTGCAGTTTGATTTCAGGCCAATTTGGGTTGCAGGTAAGGGTTATAAACAGGTCAGGGAACCCCAACTTACTTGGAATTTCCATTCTGTCGAAATAAAGTTGGTCCATGTACCGCCTGCTCCCGACAAAACTTGAAGGTAACATAACCTGTTTCCTTTCCTTTCCGTTTTGTTGGGAAGTCCTGGCAGTAGACTGTTGTTGTATGTTGTTATACTTACCAACCCTTAATTTAGATTTATTTTTCCGTAACCAATTAAGACGCTCGGTTTCCATCATCGTGTAACTGTCTACCAAAAATTGCTGGAATAGGCGCCTCGAATGTAGTAATGTTTTAGGTTCAGCAATGCATTCTTGAAGTCGGTAGCAAAGTCAATCCTTAATAGTTTAGCTGTTTTACTTTGTCACAATTGTTTTGTGCTGGTACTTATGGAGTATATTATCCCTGTAACCATCTTTCCCATATGCAAAAATTAAAGGGTATTGGTACCCAAGATAAGTTGGGTGGAACTCATCAATCCTTTGCAAGCCACCATCATGTTCATGGATTATGATGTCCCTTAGTTCAGCAATGTCAACATCACCCACAATAAGTGCAGCAACCTCCGAAACAGTGGGCGTGTTATAGACCCGACTGTCACCAGGTCGACTTGAAATCAGTTTCAACTTCAAGTCTTGAAATGCATTATCCTTTAACACATCCCTTGCCATTCTAAAGACTATAGCATGAACATTTTTATCGTCCAACATTACCTTCAAGTTGGTGATAATATCCTTTTCAATATTTTTGTTATCCCTGCAAAAACATTATTGGTATGAGTGTTATCACAATAAATTGATAATAAATTGGTGACTAAATAATATTACGGATTTTTTTAAAAGAAGAAGTAATACCTGAAACATTGTATTCTATTTTTCGACCTCATTATCAGTGTCAAATATGTATAGCTGAGCATATTGCAGAGGTTCACCGATTTCTGGAAGCATGGTACCAATCCGATGGCAAGTTTGACCATGTAGTCGCAGAGTTGGAGGACCGTTCCCCTGGAATAGGTTGTATCAAATTTCATCCCAGGTAACGTCAAGGAGAACATAGCGTTGTAAGTTCTAATTTTGGCTTGAAATTTTCTACTATAGTGTGATGTTCTATCAAACAGGAGTTGCTGCAGCAGAGGAGGAGGCTGCCTCATGAGTGGCATGACTACTTTCCCACTTTTGTAGCATATATGAAACTTTGTTACTGCGACATGTCTATTTTTTTCTTTATGTTCCTAATACCACATACACGCCTTACAGTGCTCGCATTCCCAGACAGGGTCTCTAATTTCATAATAATCTGCATTGAAAAAAATAACTGCCGCACCATGTAAAAATAAATGGAATGACTTTGATCTTACCGGGTCAGAATGGGATCAGCAGCCAGCAACACGTCGTGAGCTCCTACATTTGAAGGGATTTGTGGATAGTTGAAGAATCAATCCTTAAAGCAGCCTGAGACAATGGTTCAAGTGTCTGCATTCTACAGGAATCAGTTTGGTGAGAACTCAGGCGAGGTCTTCGTTTTGATTGTCTCAGAATAGTAGGACCCACCAGGGTTAAAGTAGTTGTGTTTTGGGTATCACTAATGGCGTTCAACATTACAGATGAGGATACTTCACAATAAGTAGACAAATTGAAAGTCGGAAACAAAATATTTCCAGAATGTATATCAAATCGTCTATGTTTCGTAGGACATGTAGGTAGTAAATGTCTTGTAGACAGGGCAGTATGAGTGGTGTTTACAACATCAGTCAACAAAGTTGTATTAAGTCTTTGAGAGTATTTTGAGATTGAGATGGAAGGTGTGGATGGTGAGCCTACTATATTCTCCTTGTTACCTATAAGGTGTTTAAGCTTTTTCTCCATCAACAACAATTTTCTCCTTTTCCTTGCAATGGATGTAGGCGTTTCAATATTACGGGAAACATGTAATGGATTCTTCAAATTGAAAATGGTAAATGAAGATTAGGAAAGAAAAACAGGCTTACTGTTCATAATACATATTGGTATTTTGGTCATACATTCAGTTTATAGTGGAAACCATGACATTGAAGAAAACATGAGAAATAAGGGTAGCTTACCAAGATTGTTAATAGTTGCTGCATGTAATGGATTTTAGACCAAGAAGAATGGTAGTATTCAAAACCTCACTTGGTGGTAGAACTAACAATTGAAGGGAACTAATAAATTTGTTTTGTTCATAAGGTTGTTGTGTTGGGTAGACTAAATAGAAACAACAAAAAGTAGCAACACAAAATATCCACCATGGATAAAATTACCACGTGTGTCCCAAATAATTTACCAATAGAAAAGTGGGAAAGTATAGATGATACAAAAATATGATAGATACTTTAACATTGTAGTTGTTTGGTAGAGGATTGTTTTAACAATATTTAATTGAAAATCACAGTAGTACATTTAAAATAGCACAATGGTTGTATTTGACATGTTTTCGTAAAGTGTTAAAATAGCGTTATTGGATTTAGCTTTTCAAATGGTGCATCATCATCGACACTCTCCATGACCTGGAGCAAAATAAACAAATGAATGTGTACTGTTGGACAATATTAGAAATCATGGACTTAGTAGTTTAGTTTTCTGAAATCTTGAATTAATGTAATAATTGGACATAAGATATAGACAAAGGAGATTAAAAAACCTAGATTGAATGAGAAGTGGTTTCAATGACAGATGGTGGCTGAAAGGTATAAACAACACTAGGAAATGCGACATTAGCTGGGTGGATTGAAATTGTAATAACAAAACAATGACATGGTATTTACCTGATCAGTTCCAAGTGATCCCTCAAGTTGTTTAATTAGTTGTTCATCGTTAAGATATTGGATGACATAGCAACTCTTCCACCTGGGACACCACTTAACCTTGAAAACATACTTCAAGCCCAATATTGAATCCAATGCCAACGGAAATTCCAGAGGGTTCGTGAATCCAACCCACATTGCAAATGGGAATATTAGTGTGAATAATAACATGATCATCGCATTAACATGCTCAAAAGGGTTATTAACTGACACAATTTAGGGGGGGGGGGGGGGGGTTATGCAAACCTCTGTCATGGTTATACGTAGTTGGCCAGCAGACGTCTTTAAAAGCTCGGTGGCTTTGCGGTTCCAGAACATGAAGCTCATTATGTTTGACTCCAATCTCAATTTTATACCTACAAATCATTAAACGATCAGACAAAAAGAAACTGCTTAACAATGATAAAGACTATATCTATATAACAAACAAATGAAACATGCACCTCCAAATTTCAACTCTAGTTCGGTGTCCATCCCTGCAAAAAAAAGGATGGTTTGTCACCCTTAGCAACCTGAGAACATTGATGACATGCTCTGTAGTGCCAACCGTTAGATGATGCAATGAGCTTGTCGGTGGTTGCAACAGATACGCAGAAAGTTATCTGCAAATCATGATCGGAACAATGTTATGCTAAAATGGTTGTTTTCTAACATAAACCAACAAATATAAAATCACTTTGGAATTACATCAGTTAATGTGATGTCTCCTGTAATGGTAGGTGGGTAGCTATGGACATAAACTTCTCGGTCGGGGATAGTTGAGAACTGGAAGATTGATGTGACCAAGAACGGTTGTGGGTACCAGATGTTAAAGATTTTCCGAATTTGAAGTCCATAGGTAACCTGTATTAATCACATAGTCGTAACGCATTAGAAAACATTAATTAGTCCACAAACATAAAAAATTGAACAAAATCACAGGGAGTGTTTAATTGAAGATTCATATCAACGAGATGTGTAAAACATTTTTCAAAAGTTAAACAAACCCACTCAACCATGTGACATATTAAATCATTTTGAATAAAAAAAACACAATCTACATAAAACCTAAACAAACCATTACAACGATTTCATTGAGAATACTCAAAACACCACTGTGGGTAACAAAAAACTTAATTATGATACATATCTTTAAAGAAATATACGCTTAAATATGTTACCTCACTTAAAGGGAAAACATCTTAACGAGTAAAAAGGGTAGGACATGTTAACCAAACAACTTAAGGGAAAAAATTGAAACTCACTTGTTTATTTACAACAACCATCTCAAAATGCTCATTCGTTGCGGTGATAACCTTCCACTTGTGATATATTTTTACAGCAAGCTTCCATAAGTCTTTGTGATCGGTGATGTCGTTGATCATCTCAAACCGTCTCGCCATTTCGTAAATGTTGAACAACAATAAGAGATAAAATCAGTGAGAGAGGTGAAGAAACAATCCTAAGGTAGAAGGAGAAGAGGGGTACAAAAAAGAGATAAATGAGAAAGGGTGTGATCAGCGCATAGCTTGAAGGAGTAGACATGTTCATATTTTCAGTTTCCAATATATATGAATAGTGATGCTGCAGACTTTCAATCTTTTCAACTTTGTAGTTCAATAATTGATCTCTATTTGAATATTTTTAGGCATGTAGTTATCAAAAAGTGGTTCGAAGAAAACGTTAAAACGTAACAAATGAAATTATCTAGTTCTCTAGTAATTAGAATGGGGCCAAAAGACTCAAATTGCCCAAAAAGAATGGTGACGTGGCGCAACAATGAGCAGGGTTAGAAAAGTTATTTAGTAGGTTATTGTTAAATTTGTAGAAGGAAGATAAAAATAATTTTTCTTAATACAAAAAATTAAGGAAATAAAGACAAAACTCCAACACTGTAAATAAAGTAAAAATAAAACTCATGATTTCACAACGACAACAAAAGAAGAAAAACTAAACTCAATTTGTGCTTGTATCAGAAATCGGAAACCCATCGGAGTCGCAGCAGTGGTCTGAAACACAGCCGGAGTTGTTCGTCGGCCGCCAAAAACCTTGGCAAAGTCCGTTCAGGTTTCCCTTTTCTTTTTTCAATTTTTTTAATACGAACGCAACAACGCACTGATTATTGAATTTCACGCACCGATTCGGCTATTAGACGCTAGATCAAGCGGCGCGATTGAAAATATTTCTGTAATTTAGGGTTTTATGTATGCAGATCTTTGTTTTGCTCAAAATATAACATACTATTCATGGCATGGACTGAGATGTATCCGATTAGGATATAGTAGCGTAAAAAATCAACAACAGATTATCATTTTAAATCGATTGTATAATCAAAGAAGGAACACTCACTTGTTGTATGAGATGAGGGTCATAAGAATGTTGGGCACCTATTAAAAAAAGTATGGAATCAAATAAAAAAATTTTTTTTGGAAAACTTGTCCAACTTTTTGGACACATGTTGTACTGATGTCATAGAAATGTTAGACACAGACGCACGTCAGACTCTAAATATCGCGACAGACTCTAACTATATGGCTACTCTAGCGATAAGGCTATTCTATAAGTATCTCTGCATCATAGATTGTGATTGAATGAAAAAGAGGAACTGAAATACTTTAATGGAAGTATTAGTTTATGTATAACCATGGGAATTTACATGACAGTTCCATTTATCAAAACACCCCTTTTTGTAAGAGTCTTTCAAGTTGTTCCATGCAAAATCTCTATTGGTTACATGATTGAATGTTCAAAGTTAGAGTTTGCATTGTCACATCAATGATATTACCGATATAGTTGTATTTAAATATTGATACTTGCCATGTTATACTATCTATTTACTCCCTCTGTTCTACACTGAGTAATCCATTTGAAATAAAAGAGTGTCTCAAAATGAATGATTCATTTTAATTTCTAATGTATTTTTTTCAATTTTACTCTCTAATTAATATTATTTTCATCATTCTCAATATATGATAAGGGTAATTTAGTAAAAATATCATTATCTTTTTTTCAATTATTCCTTTTACTTATGTGTGAAAAGTCAACCGGATCACTCGTTGTGAGACGGAGGAATTACTTTACAAGTTTGTTGTGGTTAAGTGATGGTTTTGTCTTTTTTATGCAACAGAACCTTCCTTTGTAATTTGTGGCAACTATCCTCACGCTTCTGCTTTGTAGGCAGACTCTCAACAACCATATCAGATTTATAATATCTAAATCTTCTAACAAGAGTTGTTTTGATTTGGGTTGAGGGTCTCATATTATTTTGGGTTGAAAATTTTAGGAGCAAGGAACTAAGAAAAATTGGATATGACAACTAGACGTGCTCGTTACACGCCGCTTGCCACGGATGAGGATGATTATTCTGGTGACCAAAATAGACCATTTGACCCTCGATTTGATTACACGCCGAGATCCTTGGACAGAGTTCCTTGGAAATCTATTGCCCTTGCACTCTTTCTGTTGTTTCTTGGTACCGGACTTCTGTTTCTTTCGTACTTTATTTTCACCGGTCATATGGGGGGAGAACGGTCTCAAGCTTATGGCCTTTTAGCATTAGGATTTCTGAGCTTTCTCCCAGGTATGTTGAAGTCTCTGGTTGTTGTATGCATTGTTTATACATGTGCTAGGAACTCTGATTTAATCAAGTCAAGTTTGATGAATGTTCTTAATATTATGCATTAAGATCTCTATAAAGCTAACTTTGTCGAACAGCTTAAGCGCTTTTAGGTTTACGATAAAAAAACAAACTAGCATGCATACAAAGCTCCAGTTTTCTATATGTTTGATCTGTTTGATTAAATTGAGGATGCTAGATTCACTTAAAGATTAGTAGAGAAATAATTCACGAAGTATATTCACAACCTTCTTGTATGTATCATCATCTTTTTAATAAATCACAAAACTGTTCCAATGTAATGGGAGGTACACACCGATTCAAACCAAGAATCGTACATAGATCGTTACATGGAAATGTTTCTACTTAATTAATTGAATTGCATGATACCGTTTTCGAAGTAGAATTTCACATGATAGACATACAATTATAGATCTTCGACTACGTTTCTTCATTTCATATCCCACCACTTATAATATGCCCACTAGGATTGAAGTGTCATTTATAGCAACACATCTTTTTAGTAGGGGAGGGCAGTGGACCCTCTGACTTTGGATTCTCTAACTTACCCTAACTTTAGGCATTTTCCCTGAGAGTAAGGATGTAAGATGAGACTGCATTTTCTGAGAGAGATTGAGAGAAAGTCAGAGTGTAGTTCCCGCACCAAAGTTAGAGGATCCTCTTTTCTGCATGGAATTGGGAAAATGGAGTGTACTCAGGTCTGAGCCTGTGCTCCCGGTGTCCAGAGGGCTTATAGTGACACAACTTAGTCATCACTATGATTAATTTATGGTCACTACCATAACGAATTAATAATGATATATTTCAATCTTATTTAAATGTCTTGCTACTTTTTGTCAATGGATGCACCTGCATTGATAGAGAATAAATTTCGACTTACTTGTCATGAGGACTTACATTGTTTCTGGAACAGGGTTTTATGAGACTCGTCTTGCATATTATGCATGGAGGGGTGCCAAAGGATTTCGCTTTTCCGCAATCCCTGATTACTAGAGAAGTTGAGTTATACCCTCTAAAGTCTCAGTCAAAGTTCAGATTTCAGTGCTACTTATTTGTATGTTTTACATAGATTAAATTGAACTTTTTCAAATGTATATCCAAGAAAATGTAATTTATTTGGATGATACACATCTAAAGTACTTCTGTATGAAACATAAAAGGGTTTGTTTTAGAAATATCATATTACATGTCAAAATTTTAAATATATATTCGGAAATTAAATTTTCATATTTTTATTCATGACTAAGAGAAGTTCCAGAGAATCAGTTACAAATTTCTAAAACAAAAAGCCTCCCTTAATGTTTGTTCGATATAGTTTTTTTAATTATTTTTTTGTTTTTATTTTTTATTTTTATTTTTATTTTTTATATCGAGTCATTTAGTGATTTTTATAAAAGCAGAAGTTATTGCGTTTGTTTACCAAAACAAAAATCACTTTTTAAGAAATTAATTGATTGACAGGTAAAAAATGATTTTTGTTTATAAAAACTCATTTAAACCATTTTTATTCGAAATATTTTTAAGTCTTTTAGGCTAGGCCACATGCCATAAAAGTTTTTTAAGTCTATCAGGTCAGCTTATTTATATAAATACGAATACGTTTTTTGTACATTTATTTTATACTATTAACCAATGACGATCATAATGATATATTTTTATTTGATGACTGTAAATTTTTACACTGTTAGTGCATAACAATTAAACCATTATAATTATTATATTGTATTTGTATTTTGAATTAAAATATAAAGGTAAAACTTAGTTATCTTGAAGAACTTCTAAAAATAAGTTTAAAAAATCTTATGAACAATAAGTTCTCTCAAACAAATAGTATTTAAGGGCTTTTGATATCCATATTGGCGAGCGATCCTTGGCCACAAGATGTTAAGAACATGTTACTATTAAACTTACTTAATGAGAGACAATATAACTTTTGTCAAGAAGTATGAAAAATTATAGAGGCATGCCAATCTACATCATTTGCCAGTCAATCTTCTCCATTGTGTATCAACACTCTGAAGTCAGTTACTGAAATTCGAAGCTTTTTGGGATTGGTGTTAAAACAGTGGTAAAGTGTCGGGTTCTTGCTATCGTCTCCACAGGGAATATGAGATATTGCCGCCGTTCGATAGTTGTTAAATTCGTAACTTAATAGTAACAAAAGGGGTTTTGGTTTTAAGTAACAGTAGCTTTGCATAAAAGTAAGAAATGCGGTAAAATAATGGTTTTACGATTTAACTAAAGATTGCCAAAGTTAGGGTTTGGTAATCACTTTGCATGTATATGTTCGATCAACAATGCATAAACTCTTTTTAATGATAAACACATTCACAATATCCTCTCAATATGATTATCTCTAACTCACATTGTGATATTTCCCATTTTGATCCATTGTTGATTTCTCACACAATCTATCAAAATGACAACATTTAGGTTTAACATTTTAGTGAACAATAACATTCAAGACTATTTCTAGCTCAAGAAAGGAGATGGATGAAAACCTAGGTCAAGAGTTGGAAAATATCTTTCAATCATTAACCAACACAAAGGGTTATAAATAAAACAAGGTTTTCACCATACATTCATCATCAAAGAGTTTTACAAATGAAGATCATCCATATACATACAAAGCTTAATGATCACCTACATCTAACCTTAACAAAATGAAGAACTTAGCTACTCATTTTCATGGCAGCTTGCAAAAGAAGTTTCGGAAGAAGGTTGATGAACATCCGAGTCGAACCTTCTTGGATGAGAATCCACCTTCTTTTTGTTGAATAATGTTAAGAGATGAAGAAATGAGAGAAAATGGGATTTTAGGGCACAAAAATCCCCTCTGCAGCAAAACTAGCTAAAAAGAAAGTAAAAAGATCTTTGTCCAAAAAGTAGCCCCCTGCTACTTATAGAAAATAGAAAATCTGGGCACGTTCGCTACCTTCTCGCTAGGCGAGCTGCTAGCGAACGCTCGCTACAGCCTCGCCTAGCGAACATGCTAGCGAGGACTGCAGTTTTGCTTCGCTATGTCTTCGCTGCAGCGAACCAGCCAGCGAAGGATGCTTGATTGATTCTGGAATTGCTCGCTAGGTGCTCGCTGGGAGCTCGCCTATCGAGTCTTTCGCCATATGCTCGCTACCAGCGAATGATGTCAAGAATGCTTCTGCCCAAGTCTGGGAGTGTTCGCTAACAGCTTGCTAGGCGAGGCTGCAGCGAACACTCGCTACTCACTCGCCAGGTGTTCGCCTAGCGAGCCAGCCTTTGTTCTTCTTCTTTGCTTGATTCCTTTGTCAACTTTCTTGTGTATTCAAATTATATTCTTTCAAGCTCAAATCCTGCACAATAGCACACAAATCAAAGGGACCAAGAACATTTAACACAATGATGCATAATCAACAAAAGCGAGGCGGTTTAATACATTTTTAGGACAAAAAGGAGCGAAAGATGCCCACATTTGATAGCTTAAATAAGCACAATTAGGCATCTAACAACTCTCCCCAACTAGAATATTGCTTGCCCTCAAGCAAAGTATGCCTCTTGAAGATCTAGAGGATTTGCTTAAAGAGAAAGGATTTTCCGAACTCGGATCAAATGGCTCAAATACAAGCGACTCAACCAAACACGCGTTTCCAACGGTTAGAACAACACAATGCACAAGAACTAAAACCTTAAAGCAATACAAAACATTTATCAATTCACAACAATGATATCTTGAATGAATCACCCTATCTCTCCTCTTCGAATAAGGATTGAAGAAATTTTGCACATGCAAGCGCGGAGACAATTTCACTCTCCAATAAACAATGCAAAAATCAATTCAATTCATATAATGTCTAGCAATTATAAATAAAAATGTGGACGTACGAAGATCACTAAGGTCTTTTTCGGTTATAGCTTGGTCGGGTTTACAAACAAGGGACATATCTAAAGCCATTGAAACGAATTTGCCGATGCAAAAGAGACATTCACTTGTACAACAATTCACACATTCAAACTTCGTTCAATCTTGATACTCATTTGAAACCTTCACAACTCTTGTTCCACAACTCAATTTTTCAATATTTTTCGTCCAAGCAAGCATTCATGATTATTCTTTTTTTTTTTATCATTTTTTTTCTACACCATGTTCATAAAACAAGTGTTTTTTTTTTCACAATTCTTTTCAATGCTTGCTTGGTTTTTCATGAGTTGTGGTAAATTACCCACTTATATTTTCGTTCTCCCCAACTTATCTTCTACTTCCTTCAAAAGTGAATGTTCTTTACTTTTTACGGCACAAGAACAATAATAAATTATTTTTTTCAGGTTTTCAAGAAAAAAGATTTTTGAAGTCTCGCTTTATTTCAAGTCGAGATTCAACTGTTTAAGCTCAAAAGGGGTTCACGAATACTCTCTCAACTCACGGGTAAGTTTGCATATGGAACTGGTTGTGCTCGAAAGAAACAAGTGCCTTGATCATTTCAACTAACTTCCACAAATTCATAATAATAAAAGACAGAACATGAATTAAATGAATCAACACGATTTATCAGAATCCAGCATTTAAGTACATAATGGAGGTCTCCTCATAATTTGTGGTTCTAAAACCTAAGTGACTCATTCATTCAATTATGTTGCAAAAAGACAATATTTTATCACAAAAAGAACAAAGTTCCACATGCATTCTAGAATTCTAACCGAAGGTAACCATGTACCTTAGCTTTAATCGCTTGTTAATTTTTTTTATCATTGCCATCCAAGCTCGGATGCACCTTCATTGGATACTTCTTTCAGAGAGCAACCAATCTAGAAGGTTTTGACATCAACCTATCCACAAAAAATTATTAAAAACAAAATTAAATGAAAAACTATTAATCATAACTAAAATTAATGAAATAGAAATGTGCCTGGGGGACAAAACACCCCAATAGTACAACCCAAAATATCAGACAACAAAATAAAATATCCAGAAACCAAAACAAAACAGTAAACTGAAACAGATAAAAATCAAAGATTAGTCCTCTTCGGACTCATACTCCTCCTCCTCTGAACTGTCATCATCAAAATCCTCTTCACCCTCAACCTCATCATCATCAACATCACCAACATCAGCATCGGGACCACTCGCACCCCGCCCCCTCTCCAAAAACAGGCATGTTCACAGGCCAGCTTGCATGCTGCATAAACTGCTCACGCGTCATCATAGGACGCTCTGCGGAGGGGTCACAAATCTGGAGTTGTAACACTTGCATCGAGTCATGAATGTCAACCATCACACGCTGTGTCGCCGCCATCCAATCCCAATTGTAGTTGCATATTGCTTGCTGGAAAGGGTCAAACCCTTGAGAAAAACCACCAAGACCATCAGTAGTCTCGGCATCACCAGCAGATGCACCACCTCTATAATTCTTTGGCCTGCAATATTTGTTCACATAACTATCATCAACAGCAGCGGGAATCTTAACCAAACTTCGGGAAGGAAGCTTCATCCGAGTTTGAGAACACAAAGCCATAACAATACAAGGAAAAGCAAGGGGGCAATTAGTTCGCCCCCCAGACTTAAGCCCGCTCTCTATAACCGACTTCATCTCTCTTGCAATAATCCCCGCTACATCGACCTGCACATTTGTAAGAATAGCATGAACAAGACGTGCCACTGGGATCGACACTGTTGAGGTATGCGACTTGGGTTTGATGTTCGATAGAACCAACATCAAAATCAGCTGAGCTAATGCGTTCATGTCTTCTCTGCGAAACCTCACAACTTCTCCAGAATGGTTCCTTTCTACACTCTTCCCTTCCAACAAGAGAGCGGCAGAAATATCATCAATTTTTGGGTGAAGCCTCAAGTTCCGAGTGTAGGTGTCCAATTCATTCTCACCCAAGTGGAGTGGTTCGCCGAGCACACGGTTTATGGCGTCCCTATCGAAAGCAATTTAACGACCGAACACTCTTGTAGACCAAGTGAACGGCTCATCGTCATCAGGAAGCGCGTTCGCATAGAACTCGCGCACAACATC